ACCGTCTAAAGGGTATATATATATTAGTGTAGCAATTGTGTTTTCACCCTCACTTTCATATACAATTGTGATTTTTCCCTCTTTTTTAGGGTTTGTCAATTTGTTGTTGTTATTTTGAAATGAAACTACCGTTTACCCCTAGTTCAGATGGCTGTTAGGTGGGCATGAAACTATTGAGTTAAATTAAAGAAAAAATATTTATGAAACAAAAAAATGACCATTCTAACCCCATGTGTATCACCTACCCATGTCCAACTCATTTCCAAATTCTTATTGTTAGCTTATTGTTAGCTTATTGATTGGTTGCTTGCACCCATGCATGCATCCATCCACCATGTGCCATTGGCATGCCGACGAAGCCGCCAACTCCAATGTCCAATCTTGTGTCGTTCTTCTCTTGTAGTTGACTTCCTTTGTTCGCATGAAGCAAATGTTTATGCAAGTTGTGTTAAATACAACCGATCTTTTATCGTGGTACTCAAAAAACAAATACCTCGGTTAGATTTAGAACCGGTACTAAATTTATTTTTAGTACTGGTTAAAAAAGTCTAAGTCCCAAAAACATCTTTAGTTCCTGTTTAGGTTACCATCTATAGTATCAGTTGGGAACCCCAACCGAGACTAAAAATTAGTCTCGGTTGGGGTTCCCAACTCATACTAAAGATGTCTCCAAGGTTAGATTAAAAAGATGTGTGCAATAGGTGGGATGGTAACACGTACATGTGAGTGCTGAGATGAGAGATCGTGAGTTCAAATCCCACATTCTGCATAAGTTTGTTAAAATAGACCAGGTTTGAATTATGTGAAACATCACCTAAAAACAACGGTCGGGTTGTGCCGTGCCTGGTCCGGGACAAAACCCCATGACATGGGTCGGGCCATTAGGCCACTTGCCTTTTGGCCATCTATAAATAGAGGCAATGCCAAATTCCTTGATATCAAAACAGGACTAAAACACAAATATTCAATAATATGTAAGGGTATGCATATCATTTTTTTTACAAACTTAACACCATTAATATGAATTGGCAGAATAGGGGTAAACTGAAACTTCACTTCGAAAAAGTATGGACAAAATAAAAAACCCTAATAAGTGGGAATAAAATCATAATTACAACTTAAAAGTATAAGTAGAGATAAGAACACAAATACCCCTAAATTAAACGGCGATTAGGATAAACTGACCCTACATACTGTTATATACGTTACTGTTGGCCTGTTGCAGATGCATCAACGAGTTAGGGTGTGTTTAGTTCACACCAAAATTAAAAGTTTGGATTAAATTGGAACAATGTGGTGGAAAAGTTCAAAATTTATGTGTGTAGGAAAGTTCTGATGTGATGGAAAAGTTGAAAGTTTGAAAAAAAACTTTGAAACTAAGGCTGTGTTTAGATCCAAACATCAGTCATTTTCCATCACATTAACCTGTCATACACACACAACTTTTCAGTCACATCATCTCCAATTTCAACCAAAATCCAAACTTTGCCATCAACTAAACACAGCCTAAACCAGGCCTTAGGCGAAAGTTGCTGATCCACACATCAGTTTGGCAGGCATCAGAATTTTTGTCCGGTCATTCTCCTACAGTACACAAGTGCATATAATTGCTCTCGCATGGACCCGGACCAGCAGAGATTGAGGTAGCGTGCAGGCGGTGCAGCTCTTCGTCTCTCAAAATCTCCCAATTACCGTACAGAGGTACAGAGTTATGTGATTGTTTTGGAAGATACACGTGCTTAGTCCTATATAAAGCAGCTATAGCTAGTTAAATTAAAGCAACCATATCACACAGAAGATGCAAAGCTAGCTAGTTTTCACAGATATCCTATCTTATAATATTAGATTAATAGTACGTATACACAAAGCTTCTAGCTACTTAATTTCTCGGTCGCTGAAAGGGCACTATGTCTGCAAGCTCCATCCCTCTCCCTCTCTTGTGTAATGGTCCTCCTGTGCATATTAGGGTTAGCCATCCGCCGGCTGGGCTTCTTGCTCGTTCGGATGGTGTCCGAGCAAAAGGTTACTTCCGGCAAAGCAATGTTCTGCGACATGCAAGTGGACATGGGATTCGATCCGGGAATGAGCTAGCGTCTAGCTTTGAGCCCTCTGCGTGGGGGGATTTCTTTATCAACTACGAGCCCAAGCCCCTCCAGGCATATATATACATATTTTATTTTTCGTGCGGTATATGTTTGATTCTAATAACTCTGATAATTAAACTATACACCTTTGATATCCCAGATAATTTTGATACCTAAGTGTTCTCATTATATATTCATCAAGATTGGTGCAATTTTCAAATGTAAAATCTCATAATTAATGCTTATGTTTTTTATTTGTCTTTTTTTAAAGTGACATATATAGTTCTCATGTCCCAAGTACGGATCAATTGTGTTTCATTAATTTTGTTTTTTATTCTAGTTATCTTTGTTCTGCTTTTTGCAAAACATTTGTCATGCCACGAATTGCACAAATTAATTATATTAATTGGAAATCATTTAATTGACCTTATTAACTGTTCATTTCAGTGTATTTTTTCTTTCACTCAATCATAACAAATCAAATTCATGCTGCCAAATAAGCAGAGATCAGAGGGATGGATGATGGAGATGGCCGAAAAGCTAAAAAGAGATGTCCGCATACTGTTTGGGACCTGCAATGATATATTGGAGAAGATGAATTTAATAGATGCAGTCCATCGTCTTGGAATAGATCACCTTTTCCAAGAAGAAATAGGAAGTGCAATAAGTGACATCAAAGGAAGTGAATTCACTAGCTCTAGCCTTCATGAGGTTGCTTTATGGTTTCGCTTACTTAGGGAGCATGGCATTTGGGTATCTCCAGGTATTGTTCTACATGCTAAAACCTAAATGATACTAGCGAAGCATGTGTTAACTGATATAAGGAAATCTGAATATTATTGGTTTCCTTAAAAACCAAAACATTTTTTGAGAACTAAAAAGAACTATAACTAATTATTACAAATAAGTATGGCTTCCAAAATTCTATGAAATCAACAAAAAGTTAATTCCAGCACATAGTGATAGGCGTTTTTGGAAGAGTTGATTGCCAAACTTTTGAATGTTCTCTTTGGATTAGAATTATTTAATTTCCTTATCATTTTGTAGGCGATTCAGAATTGCATTTATTTGCATTAATTCTGTGGAACAACTTCTCTGTATCTGTCCGAACTAACCACACTACAACCTCTGTTTCAAATTGCTCAAATTGCTTGTCAATCTAGCTTTTTGTTAAGTCAAACATTTCTATCTTTGGTCATCAATTTTAGAAATTTTGGGTAATTTAGAAACATATGTATTATGTATTTCGGAAGTATTTTTCATGATGGGTGTACAAACATAAATATTAAGACTTAAACTATACGGTGGCGCTAATACGCGCGCTCCACGCGGAATATTACTTTGAGCGCCACACAACGCTCCCTCCTTCCGATTTTCCTTTTTTACCACCCCACCTTTCTTCCGTCTGCTTTTTTCGTTTTTTACCACCCCACCTTCCGTGTTTCTTTTTTCTCTTTTCCACCTCATTCGTTTTCATCAAAGAGCCCGGTAAAATATTAACCATCCATATTTTTCCCTTTTTCGTTCGTTCTCTCCAGTTTTTCTGTTTTCACATTTTAGTAAAATATTTACTGTCTAGTTTTTCTTTCTAAGTTTTTTTATTTTTCTAGAGTCTCCCCACGTTTCAAAAAGTAACGAATTTACTCTATAGAGCTTTCCATTTACTCCCGGCTTCCCATATCTGCACATTCAAAAGAAACAAATTTACTCGCATAAATGCCCCCTTCAAAAGTAACAAATTTACTTGCACGAATGCCCCTACATCGTACGACACCATTCCTAGATGGTCGTAAAAGAATTACTACCAGCTTACAACGCTAGTAGTTCATTTACCAGTGTTATAAATATTGTTCAGACTTCATGGTCTGTGAGTAAAACAACCACCACCTTCCTCTTGATATAGCCCGTGATCTCGTAGCCTGCAATTTATTTACTGATGTGTTCAATACATAGTATAAGAATAAAAACTGATACTAAAAGTATTGTTAATTTGTATCACGAAATGGTCGTACGAATGAAAAAAATTAATGGCTCAATCACACACGAGTGATAAAATCACTTACAGGTGAATTAAACTAGAAAAGAAAAAAATGACAGTTTCTACCTGGTTACAAGCTCTGTAATATTTATGGGACTGTTGTACTTGTATATTTTATACATTTTATAACTTTCTTTTTTGTTTTAATGTATTAAAAGTAATGGGGGATGCCTCGTTGTAATTTTACTAAAAAATAAATCCATTGTGAATCTGGGATCCTTGAGGCTTTCCTGGATCTTGCTATAAGGATGGAGAGGCTGACCTATGTCTTGTGACTGGTAGCGGAGAGGGTAACCAGGTGGCGTCACTACTACAAAATTAATTTTTCATGGCACCACCTTTTTTTTTTCTCTAGCAGTTATACGTGTAAACCGTCAGCAAAAATATTACAAGGGGTAGGGGGGCTACGGACCGCCAGCGAAAACAGATCTTCGCTACGGCTGGGTTAAGAGGGCCGCCAGCAAAAGTATAACTATTTTCGTTGGCGGCCCACTTAAGGAACCACCAACGAAAATTGGATTTTTGGTAGTGGTCCTCTTTACCAGCTGCCTGTGAAAATCTCTATTTTCGTTGGTGGTTGGTAAAGAGGACCGCCAGGAACAATTCGATGTTCGCCAACGAAAATTCAATGTTCCCTGGCGGCTACTAAAGTGCACTGCTAGCGGAAATCATACCGCACATTACAAAGGCAGCCCCACCGCCACCCACTCCTCCTCTAGATACACTGCCTCCCACTCCTCCTCTCTTTGTCCTCGTCTCTCCTCCGCACCCTTCTCCTCCCCCTCCACCGGCGACTCCACCGGTGTTCTCCACCGCGCGGCTTGCATAGTCGGACGGGCCGCTGGGCCTCATGGAGGACACCGTAGGGCCGAAGGAGGATGGATCCACCACCACCAGGACGCGGGGAGGACAGATCCGCCACCGCCGAGCCGTGGGGAGGATGGATCTGCCGCCGCCAGTCCATTGGGAGCACGGATCTGCCGCCGCCGAGCCGCGGAGGCACGGATCCACCGCCGCCGGGCTCCTCCAACCGCCTCCCCACTCCCAGGTCTGGAGGCTGCGGATCAGGGCATGGACTTCAGCGGGCGATGTCACGTGCCGCGGATCCAGGCGATGGAGGGGCGTGGGCGGCGGGCGACAATGACCAAGAACCATGCTCCAGCAAGTTCCAGGAGGAGACGGCGTTCCGGAGCTGGCCTTCCTCTCGCTGTTCCACCACAAGCACCTCATCGGCTTCCTCGGCTACTGTGAGGAGAACGACAAGCAGCTGCTCATCTAGGAAGTGTGATTGTGGTTGGGGATTTGGGACAACGATTTGGGATTGTGATTGGGGATTGGGACAATGATTTGGAATTTCTCAAAACTATTTTGGACCTAGATTTTCTATGGTTGTGATTACTGTGATTGTGATTATTGTGGTTGTGATGATTGTGATTGTGATTGTGGTTATTGTGGATTTGGGGGATTTAGGACAGTGATTGTGGGTCGGAGAATTATGGATTTTGGATAGTAATTGGGGATCTTGATTTTTATTTTTTTATCCTAAAATCATTTTCATTGGCGGCTCTCACTAGCCACCATTAGTGAAAATCACCTTTTCTCTAGCAGCTGTCCTAACTTTGCTGCCTGTGGAAGTCAATTTTCGCTAGCAGTTGGTGGACCACTAGTGAAAATTTATTTTTTCACTGGCCTTAGGTTTCTGGCAGTGTTGCCGGCCGGCAGCGGAAAAAGCCTTTTTGTGCTAGTGCGTGCGGTAGTAGATGATGGAATGATGGAAGGATGTAGCTGCGTGGTATAGAGACGATCTCGATGTTGCGCAGTAGCAGTTATTCGTCATCTAGAAAGCACGAAAAAAATGCAAAAAACATTCTCGTTCATGTCATACAAATGACGAGTAAAAGAAAAATAGGAAACAACCTCCATCACCGGCGGACTTCACCCTATCCTCTGCGGCAAACCACATGGAGCATGATGTCCAAATGTAGGACATGTGCAGCCCATCAATTTAGATCAGGTAATATTGGAGATTGCATGTTAATTTGATTTGCAAAATGAATTTGGGGCTTCACGCATGAAGGTGAAGGAGAGTATGCAGATGCAAATTGGAGTGTCATTTCGTTACTTTCTTATTCTGCCAATGTCGCCGACATGGAGCAGTCGCCGGTTATTGCTCTTGGCCTAGGTGAACACCTCCTTGCTAGTTAAGGTGCTGCTCGGCTTCCAGCAGCGAACCCCGAAGCAACGTCCATTGTCGCGTCCCAAATCGACTCTAAAATCTATCCTCGAAATTGTGCAAAAGAATAATTAAAATTCAATGTGAAAGCCTCCAACAATTAAAATGTGCAAAGATAAAAGTCAAATGAGGCTTGGAGGATTTTTGTATATTTCCTAAAAGCCTAAAATGCTTAAATAAATTTTAGTGGAATTTTCAGAGCACAAATAATAATAGAAAAGAAATAAACAAAGTGGAAAAGGTTTTATAAAAAGAAAACCCTAAAAAAAGTTCGCTTCCCCCCCCCTTTTCCCTCTTGGGCCGGCTCGGCCCATTCCCTCCCTCTCTCTCTCCTCTCCCGCGGCCCATCGGCTCCCCGCGCGCGCGCGCCGCTGACAGGCGGGCCCGCCCGCCGCTCTCGCTGACGGGTGGGTCCCACCTGTCATCTTCCTCCTCCCGCCGCGTCCGCCGCCGCGCCCGTGCCCTAGCGCCGCCGCCGCCGCGAATCCCGCCGCTCCCGTCCGCCCCGCGTGCAATCAAGAGGGGGGATTTACTCCCCGCGTTTCCCTCCCCCGTTTCCCCCTCTTTCCCCTCTCTCTCTCCCTCGGATTCGTTCGAATCAAGCCCGTAATCGTCGCCGGCGCAATCAATGGCGGCCGAGATCCCCGCGCCCGTTTCCTCTCTCTCCGGCCGCTCTTTCCTTCCTCCGGCGCTATTTAAACCCTCCCCGAGCTCCGCCCTTCCGTTTCCGCCGCTCACCGCTCGCTCTCGCCGTCGGAATCGTGCTCGCGCCGCTTTTCCTTCTCTCCGCCGTCGCCGACGAGTTCCGTTCCGCCGCCGCCGCCGCTCCGGTTCTCCTCCCGGCTCGGCGACCCCTCCTTCGGCATCGCCGCATCGCCGCCGACCCCGTCCGCCGCTCCGCTTCGTCCGCCGACCGCCGGAGCACCGTCGTCATCGTCTTCCCGAGCCGCGCCGCCGTCTTCCTCCGCTCCGTCCGCCGTTTCCGCCGCCTTCGCTGTCTCGGGGTGAGCCGTGGACCGTCCCCTTCGCCTTCCCCCTTCCCTCCTCTCTCTCGGGCGCCGCTCCGCCGCGCCGGTGGTCGCCGGCGGTGACCATCGGGGCGCGGGCGCGCCGCTCCCGTCGGCCGCGCCGGCGAGGCCGCCCTCGGGCGCGCCCTCGCGGCTGCCAAGTGGGCCCGGCCGTCAGCCGCCCGCGCCCGCGGGTGCGGCTGACGCGCGGGACCCACGGCGCCGACCGCCGCCAGCCGCGTGCGCCCGGTCCACCGTGGACCGAGCGGCTGACGCGTGGGCCCCACTTCCCGTGGACCCGGTCCGCGCGCCCGCCCCTCGGCTGACGCAATAAATGGAATTTTTAATTGAAAATTAAATGAAGAAATTCGCAAATATCCATTTAAAGAGCATATAAACTTCAAATGGCCATATCTTGGCCATTTGAACTCGGAATTGGACCGTTCAAGTCTCTAATTTCTCCTTAAGATGTAAAGAACCCATTTTTGTGCTTTGTTTCTGCTGTTATGTGGAGTTATTTAGTGTTAAAGCCTTTTTCTTTTCCGTTGGTCGTGTAGACGCTGCAGCTTCGGAAGATCCGCTCTTCGTTGAAGTCGAAGCCGTCGATTGGGAAAACGAGCAAGGCAAGACACATCATCTTGATCATATTGAATCCCAGTTTACAAAATTATGTTGATTTAAATTATTGCATTATCGCTTTATTTAAATTCCCGCGTTATCACTGTTTTATTTAGCCATGCCTATTTACCTTTGTTATGACCATATTATTATTGTTATTGTTATTATTACTACCTTGTTCACCCTAGACAAACAAAACCTCAACTAGTGGACACTCTACTCATAGTACCACTAGTATAATTCTAGGTAGATGCTTCGCAAGTTAATTAGGCAACATTAGGTGGTTTTACAACTCTAGACTTGGGAAATTCTCATATCACTTGGACACTCTGGAATTGTTGGATTATTGTGGAATTGGCTTCACACCGCCCCCTCTATTCAAAATTCCCTAAAATGGTTTTAGGCTGGGCTCGGGGTGCATGGTTTGGATGGTAGCACCTTGGCCGTTTAAGGACCGGTCTTCGGGCCTCTGTTGCAAAGCACTACCGTACTTCCACATGTCTAGTGGGTAAGGCTTAGTTTGTGGCTCAGTCTAGTCATAAACAAAAGTACACGGATTGGAGATGGATGAAGTCGGGGGTCGATGGACATTCTCCAGGGCAAATGAAGGCTACACGAGCTGCGGCCCGGTAGTCGAGATGTCAAAAAGCACAGGGTTGGTGCCCTGCTGCGAGGGGCTCAGTTCCGTCTGCCTGTCCCGGGGGTTCCGGCCGTAGGCGGAATTGGGTCGGTACTCTTGTCTAAGGCTAGGATGGGTTGGAAACTATGTCACGTCTTCCGTCTGTATACCGTGGTGGTATGTGGCACGTGGTAACACGTGAGGAAGCCGTGTCTTGTGGGTAAAGATGTACACCTCTGATCAGAGTATAATCTATTCGAATAGCCGAGCCCTCGGATATGGGCAAGCCGAGCAATGTACCCAAGTTAGTGTTTTAATTCTTAAAACTTGCTTAACAACTAAAATATGGAATGGTTGGCCTGGGTTGGCTTAGGACGAGCTGGGACCCAGGGTCGGGTTGCCAGTTCGGTCTGAATCATCATAGGCCTTGGGTTAAGGCAGGTTCGTGTGGGTTCACGGCCTTGATTAATAATATTGTATAGTTCTAGCTTCGTGTTTACAGAATAGCCTTGAGCAACTAAATTCCTTTAAATGCTGTTTACTGCAACCCTAACCCTTTATATTATAATTCCTTTGTACTCCCTTGCATTTATTCTGCATTTGTGGGTGTGTCTTGTTGAGTACGGTGGTTGTACTCAGTCTTGCTTAATTTTCCCAAGCCCAGATGAGGAGTTCCCTGAAGATGAAGGCTTTGGTGTCTAGCTCGTGCCTGCCGTCAAGCGCCTGTGGTCGTCGCCCTAGTCTTCCGCTGTCTTTCGTTGTCTTTGAGTGTGCTGGGCCTTCGTTGCCCGTGTAATAATTTTATATACGCTTCCGCTTGTTAAACTCTGTATTGTATCAACTTTTGGTGTACCTTGCCTCCTGGGACAAGGAATAATACACGCACGTCAGGAACGCCCGTTGGGTGATTTCCGGTCGTGACAAGTTGGTATCAGAGCCTCCCTTGACCCTAGGACGAGCCGTAGATCCCAAGCCTTAGCAATATTTTCAAAAATAAAAATCCTTTATTATTTGTGAAAACCCGCTATTCTCTCTTTGTCTTGCTGCTTCATTTATCGTCAAAATCTGATCTTTTAAATGCTGCTTTTCTCTTTGTTTTTGTTTGTAGATGGCCGGCAGCGTTACCCGTCGTGGTTTGAGCATGACTGGCTTCGTCTTGGAGCTGCGAGGCATGTGCGTGGTCTTGGGGTATCCACATGGAGTGGATTACCAGGCCAGGCCGCTCCCGGAGCAGGAGGGTGAGGATGCAGAGCCTCACGCTGGTTGGGAGGTCACTGCAGTGATTCTCTCCGGCTCTCCCGAGCGGACTTCGCTGGCAGTCACCGCGGGTGGGGATTCCTTCCCCGCCGCTTGCCAGAACGCCGCTCTCCTCGCCATCGGCACCCTTCACCAGCGCTACCCGGACGAGTTGCAGCACTCGCCCTACCGCTACCACCCCCGTCGCGGAGGAGCCAGCGACCACGCCACCTTCCGAGACGCTAGCTCGGAGGATGACGCTACCGTCGTGCATCTGGCACGCATGGTGGAGGCGTACGACGCGGCTCGTATCGACTTCCACCAGATGGTGCGTC